TCGTGAATTCCCAAATCCTGAGTATCATTCCTGTCTTAAAATTGACCAAACTGTTCGGTCGTGGTTGTTTACTACTTTGTCTCGCAATATTTTACTTGAGGTGCAAACTCTTCGTTTTTCTGCTTTAATTTGGGAAAGGTTGGAGACTCGTTTTGTGGCAGCGTGTGTAGCCCACTCTATTGAACTTAAAAGAATTTTATCTACCTTAAAGAAAAAGGAGGACAAATCCATAGATGACTATTTGCGGGAGATCATTGTTCTGACTGATTCACTAAACATCATTAATTACCCACTCAGTAATCGTGAACTCCTTCAGCAAATTGTTGCTGGTCTAGGACATGAATATGAATCAGTTATTACCTCGGTAACGTTGTTCTCGGACAGCTTTACTTTTGAATCTTTAACGCCCCAATTAATGGCTTTGGAACAAAGGGCGTTTTATCTTCGTTCCCAACAATCACATCTTGGACATCAAGCGTTTGGGGCACAAGAGCAACATGCGGCAGTTCGTCCTCCTGTTTGAGGGGGTGCATCACCTCGCGGACACGGAGGCAGGGGTTTTCGTGGCGGGGGTCGCGCCCGTGGACATCGCGGCCGTGGCAGACATGCTGTTGGACAGTCGAGGTTCGGCTACGGTGGACCGCAGGGCGGCTACGGGAAGCAAGCAACATGCGGTCATCCTCCTCTTGCTCCAGTTCCTGGATCATACGGGTGGCAGCAAGGGGCTCCTCCTCGGGGTTCTTCCTAGTCTGGGTTTCCACCTATGGCATCACGTAATTTCGTGTCAGTTTTATATGGTATGCATGCTTTATCTACTTGTGTTACTCACCCCATTTTTGCAGGATTCCCATCTGTTGAGCATAATTACCAATCACTTGCACCGCCTATTGTCTTTCGGCTTTGTTATTCCCCAGGTCACTCTACCATTACTTGTCCTCGTTTCACCAACTCTACACCAGCTTTGGCGGCTATTCCTACGGGCGAAACAAATACGTTTGTGTGGTACCCGGATTCAGGTGCTTCAGCTCACATGACACCACATGAAGGTATTTTAACTAATAAATCTACTTATTCTAGTCCTTTTTTTGTGCGTGTCGCTAATGGTCAAAATCTCCCTGTTTCTCACATTGGTAATACTAGTTTATCTACTACTAGCCGCCCGCTTTTATTAAAATCAGTCTATCATGTTCCGCACCTTCAATACAATTTATTATCTATTCAACGTTTATGTGCGGATAATGATTGTTCTGTTATTTGTAATAAAAATACTTTTTTTGTCAAGGACAATCACACGGGAGCCATACTCCTCCAGGCATCCAATATAGACTCGGTTTATCCTTTTAGAGCAGCCCAATCGCCTACTCCGCCTCTAGCTTTACAGACCAAGCTTGTCTCTGGTCCGTAGTCACGGATTTGGTCCGTGACTCGTTAGTCACGGTTCTAATCACGATTTAGTCACGGAACGTTTAAAAAAATAGTCACGGATTTGGCCGTGACTACGTCCGTGACTATAGTTAGTCACGGATGTAGTCCGTGACTAAAGTGTTCCGGCCAACCCAATTTCGCCTACGGCGGTTTTTTTTTTAAATTTGAAAGTAGTCACGGATGGTTCCGTGACTAGTGTCGTGACTACAGTTAGTCACGGATACGTCCGTGACTAATTCCGTGACAAGTGCAAAATTGATTTTTTCAACGTTTCAAATTTAAAGTGCTCCGACAAATCGTACCAAAAATGTGTAGTCACGGACACATCCGTGACTAAGACCGTGACTACAAGTTTTATATATGCAGCATCCGCTTCAGGAGGCAACCGAGGAGGCAACCGAGGCAGCCAAGGAGGTACCCGACCCTTAGACACTGTGGATGCAGAAGAGGATCATCATCGTGACTATGATGATAATGATGACACATATGATTATGATGATTCTAATTTTTATCATAATGGAGTCCGACGTACGGGCATGTAATTACATAATATTGTTTAACATTGTATGAGTTTTGTTTTTATAATTCAGTCTGTAATAACATTTTTTATGTTTAAGATTGTATGGAATTTGTTTTTATTCTAATTGCTTTAAAGTAAAATTAAAATAATTTTTTTTTATTTAAAATCGATTTTTTTTTAAAACAAAAAACATTAGTCACGGACTAAATCCGTGACTACGTTTTAATCCAAACTATTTTTTTTTTCAAAACATAGTCACGGATACATGTCCGTCACTAATCACGGGCTTTTTTAAAAACGTTAGTCACGGACACGTCCGTGACTACCACAAAAAATAAAAAAATTTAAATTAAACTTAGTCACGGTGCTTGTCCGTGACTAACATAAAAAAAATTAAATTAAAGTAATCACGGATATAGTCCGTGACTAACGCGCCGGAGGGCTAATTCCGGTCAAGATGTAGTCACGGACCGAGTCCGTGACTAATCCGTGACTACACTTAGTCACGGCCAATGTTCCGTGACTACGTTCTAGTCACGCGGAATTAGTCACGGAACTAGTCACGGACAAAATCCGTGACTAAGGCCGTGACTACAGGCGAATCTTTTTGTAGTGGTAATAACTTTTTTATTTTTGATCCGATTTTTATAAAATTTATATCAACATTTTTTATTTTTCACGATCTTTCAAATGAGACCAATATTGCTTATGTAATTTTAACAAATTATGGAACTATTATATAAATGATTATTGGATTATAAGGAAAACCGAACTAAATTTAATACAAAAAAATAATTGTGTAAATCACAATTTATCTTAAAATTGTGTATATAAAAAATCATTGAGTTACATGTGAGTTACATATTTTTATATGTGAAGTTACATATTTTTACACGTAAGTTACATATTTCTACATGCGAGTTACATTTGTATCAACAACAAGTTACATTTTGATTAACATGATTTACATTTTCGATTTCCCTGAATTAAGTTTTTAATTAACGCACCTTACTATTTCGAAATGAAAAATGTTAAAGGTACTCCAAAGTTGTACCCCATTTTTACCTCACCCCTAATTGTGTGGCCATAAATGGGGCAACTCATTTAAGTGGTGCCCCACTTAAATGAGTTGCCCCATTTATGGCCACACAATTAGGGGTGAGGTAAAAATGGGGTACAACTTTGGGGTACCTTTAGCATAGCTCCTTCGAAATTTCTCAAGTTACATTTTGGATACACTCGAGTTACATATCAATTAGATAAAAGTTACTTCTTGTAACACGCGGTTTACATTTCGTATAAAAGGTGAGAGAACCACTAAAGGGTGTAATATGAGTTACATTCCAGGTAGCGAGTTACATTTGTAATTAACTGAGATTACATTTTATAACAACACGAGTTACATTTCAATACATAGGATTTACATCACATAAAATATTGAGACAAAAATTAAATTACATATTTTTACACGCAAATGTTAATATGTTAAAATTACATAGGCAATATTGGTCTCATTTGAAAGATCATGAAAAATAAAAAAAATGATATAAATTTTATAAAAATCGGATTAAAAATAAAAAAATTATTAATAATTTTAAGAAAATGAGATATAAAAAATAACAAGGGTGCATGATGCTCACCGTGCACCCGTTCCACGATGTATATTACTCGGTATTATATTATAGCTATCATCATTATCGGGTATCCAAAAATGTAGTGAGGAGATGGGAGATTGCAATAATATATTCAACATAGTGCGCTCTAATGGTATGTGATAGATATAATGTGACTTTGTAAGAATCCGTGTCATGCTGTCACAGTGTCAATTGGAGTGCCCTCTAATTGTATGACTTTGTGATAGTATATTGTTGAGTCGATCTTAACCACGCTAATGAAGCCAGTGGATCAGCATCCTCTACCACACGACAGGGTTGCTTGCGCATCGGACGGTCCGACAGAGACGAGCACGGCCTAGAGATCAGCAATAGTGTGGACCCAAGATATACGGCCGTTGAATTTACGATCAGACGACTGTCCGGAAGCAAGGCACTCTACGTTGCCCAAAAGCAAGACAGAGGTTCCGGATCCAGTCTCATAGGAGGTGTATTTTTCGGGTGTAAAAATTCTCCAAATGGATAAAATTATTAAGGGTTTTTTTCATTTTTAGTCCTCTAACTATTTTGTCATTGAGGTACTCGACTTTAATTTTTTCCACTTTTAGTCCCCAACTATCATGCTAGAGTCACTTTTGATACTTGTCTTTGAAAATTTTCATATTTAGTCTTTCGACTTTCATAAAAGTGACACTTTTGGTTCTTCAACTATTACAAAAGCGACATTTTTAGTGATTCAATTATTGTGTCAAAATCATAATTGAAGGACTAAAAGTATTTATTTGATAATACTCAGTGGACTAAATATATATAACTTTGAAATCGGGGACTAAAAGTATCTCTTTTACAATAGTCGATGATTAAAAATGAAAAAATTAATAATATCGCCCCATTGCATGTCACTGGCACAAATGTCACTGACCATGCAATGGTATCACGGTATCACTATCACTATCACTATCACCACATTGCGTGTCACTAACACAAAAATGTCAAAAGTGAATATGGATAGTAAATGAAAGTGGTCCTAGTTTGACATTGATTTTTAAGCAATACCCTCTCTATTCCATTAGACTTTGTCAACTTTCCTTTTTTGGCTGTCCAAAAAAACTTTTCTACTTTCATATTAAAGCAACTAATTTGTGGTTCTTCACATTTCTCTCTCTCCTCTGCACAAATCTTAATCGCACCATTTTTTACTATTTTTATTTCTCAACTACTTTACGCTTGACAAAGTTAACCGGGCGTATAACCTTTTTAAGTAGAAATTTCATTTGGGAACTAGCGGAAACTTCATACTGGAGTACTTGGTTCTCCGTATTTGATACCAAATCTTTGGTAGATGGAAATTGGATGCGGGATGAGGCCAGGTTAAATGGAGATGAACCAAATTTGGCCTATAAAACCCAAACGTTCCCGGCCAAACTTGTTTAGGACTCTTTCTTTCCCACCAAGCGTAGCGTAGCGTAACGTAGAATCATCATATCCATCAATATGGATACCCCATCATCATCGTCTGAGACCATTATCATGGCTGCCCTCTCAAGTCTATCACCCTCCGTCCTCTTCCATCTCACCCACCACCTCACCGCCATCTTCCGCTACCACAACCGCCGCGTCTCCGCCCTCCTCTCCTCCCCAACCCTCTTCTCCCTCACTCTCCACCACCTCCACACCCTCTCTCTCCACCAAAAGTCCCTCCTCATCTCCCGCCACCTCCTCTCAAACCTCTCTCTCTTGGCATGCCACGCCCAACAGCAACACCCCCGCCTTCTCCTCCCGCCTCCGCGCTCAGCCACCTCCATCAATCTCCGCGACATCGACGCCGTGCTCCTCCTCCTCCTCCTCTGCGAGCTCCACCAGAGCGATGGAGAGGCGTTGGACGCTCCTCCGTCGCGGTGGCGTGAAGCGCTTTGTCGTCATGCGACGAAGAGCGCGTTAAGGCTGTCCAAAATGGGAGCTTCCACCGTTGAAGTGATAGTCGAGTATGTAGAGGTGGTGGTGAAGTGCATGAACTTTGTGAACGCGATGGGTTGGAACGGCGGCGGCGGAGGCGATGATAGTGGAAAGGAGGGGAGAGATGTGGCGGCTTCGGTGGCGGCGGTGGTGGCGCTGCCGTCCGTGGAAGTGAGGGAAAGGGGGCGGGAGTGCGTGATATGTAAAGAGGAGATGAGGGAAGGAAGAGACGTGTGTGAGTTGCCATGTCAGCATTTGTTTCATTGGATATGTATTTTGCCTTGGCTTGACAAGAAGAACACGTGCCCCTGCTGCCGGTTTAAGCTTCCCAGCGACGACGTTTCAGGTGAGATCCAACGGCTGTGGGAGATCTTCGCTAAGATGAGCAGTTGATATATGGAGATGCGGCATAGCTAAGCTAGCTGTTATAAACAATACGTAGTCATCGATCTGTAATATATATATATATATATACGTACATTCAGCCCCAAATTAAAAATGGAATGATCCCTTAATTATATTCCATCACCTGTTTTAATTGGCAGCTTTGGTTTGGTTAGCTTATTTAGTCAATCCAATCCATTCACGACTAAATTAAAACAGCGAAGTTCATATATATGTTCTGAAAATAGAACATATTTGATCCTATAATAAATGCATAAAAGTTGGGGTGATCTTATTTACGGATCGGATCGGAGTATGTTTTTGATCGAGTCTGCTTTAATGTTAGTGACATTTATGAACTCTTGTTGATAACCGGTTGAGCCTAATGCCAAATTGCCAATATTCCTATCTATTCCTAGTGAAAACTAAAAATGAAAAATACATCCATCTGAAGGAGGAGGCAACATTGTTGTGCAGAAGTGGACAAAAGGGCCGGCAGACATTCCCATTCAACGTACTCTATATTCCATTTTACTCCATCACCTCACACTACTTCACCAATCTTGCGCACCATGCATGTTTCCTATCCCATAATTAAATAATACAGTATAATATAATTATGAGAAAATTTAGTAACAATGACAATTGTACTCTTAAAATATGACTAATTCCCTTCTATTTTGGGAATTGAGTTTCAATCAACTTATTCTTTTAATACGGATCTATTTTGGGGAATAGATCCGTATTTTGAACTTTGATTATGCTTTGATCTTATATATTGACCGATTTCTATATAATTATTAGGGAAAAGTATGAAAAAGTACATGTGGAAAGACCCGTTTTCAAATAGAGTAATGTGTTTAATTTCTTAACAAAGTAGGTCATGTGTTTCAATTTCGTTATCACAAGAGGTGTCTGACGCTAATGCCGTTACAAAGCATCGAAAGAAGACGATGAACAATAACTACGATTTTAAAAAATGTCCGAAATATTAAAATAAAAATATACTCCGTACCAAACTATATTGGTATGCACATTTTGTGTTGCTTACCCATCCTTTTTCTGTTTCTACAGTTGTTAAAGATTACTTTGACAAAACTTATAAACTACACGGTCTACCCAAAACCATTGTGAGTGATAGGGATAAGATTTCCTTAGTCACTTCCGGAAGGAATTGTTCAAATTATTGTAGCAGGTTGAGTTATTAATATGAAATGCCTATCACCCCCAAACACCCCTTGTTGAATATGTTGTTTTGTTGATGACTAACCATGTAGGTGGAATGGCGGACAGAACTGCTCTCAGTTCAATTAGGAACGAAACTTAGAACTATACTTAGTTCTGATCTATATGACTGATTGTTGTGCATAATGAATAAATTAATATGTGCCTGCATGATAATACCTCATCTACGTGCCTAGATTGATAATGCATATTCTTAATGTACGTGGCACAATTTAAATATCTTTCCATGTATGACTAAGCACTCACCTTTATGAGTTGGACTATATAGCTTTATAGCTTATGGATAGAATCATTGTTTATGCTACATAAATATCCTACATAAATTGACCGTAGCATATTTGGATCCACTAAGTAAATATTTCCTTATCACTTAATGTTAAATATTTTGGAAAGTATCTTGGCTTGCATGATCTGTAGCACCTTATTTGAATATCTTACTTATATGATCGTTACGTATTCTCCTTATATGTGATGATATATATATTCATGTGGAATTATCATTGCAATACGTAATATTCTCCATATCTGTTTTGTTATTGAGTGATTTACTCATAGTATGCACGTATCCACTTACTTCCATATATATATGGTTGACCGAGGATCACCATATTTGTGAGTCGGAAGATCTTTGAATAAAAGGAAAGAAGAGGCTACGGATGCTATATATATTGGACTAAAGACCAGACGAAAGAGTGTGCTTGACCAAGCTTCTATTGAGAAATATACACAAGAATATCTACTAAGTCCAAGGCACCTGAACCTGCTCACGGAGTTCCAAACAGAGTTTCCTTTTCCTTTCTTCATATTGTAATTGGGTTTTTGAGGATTGACTAAGTGTAGCATCCTCGGGTCAATTAGTGTGTTGTGAGAGCTTTGTTGTAAAGCTGAGAGGCTCTCTACCCACAAGGTAGAGAAGCATAACTCTTCCTAGAGAGGATAGAGTTGGGGTGGCTCAAGGGTAGACTAGGAGAGTTTCCCTTGTAATCATTCAAAGGCTTTTTAGTGAAGTTGTTCAAATTCCTCCGAGGGAGGTCGAGGATTTTTAATCCCTTTGAGCCAAGGGATTTTTCCTCGTTAAATCCTTGTGCACTTTATTATTTCGTAATTCCCTGAACCCCACACTAGAACTGTGCGAAAAACTGCCACGGTTCCACACACACATAATTCACCCCCCCCCCCCCCCCCTCTTGTGTTGCTAACCGTTTCATCAATTGGTATCAGATCCGGTCTTCACCACAGAAAGGTTAAAACCTTGGGAAGAGATCCGGCAGCATGAATACGGTTGAACGATTGGAGGAAGGATACTCGACTCAACGACCACCGTTGTTCAACGGCAAATTTTATCAATTCTGGAAGAGTCGAATGGAGAACTTCATCAAGGCTGAGAACTACCAGGTATGGAACGTAATTGAAGTAGGCGATAACATCATTACTAAAGAAGATGCCGAAGGTAATGTTATCCCTAAATCCAAATCTGAATATACCTCTGATGATTAATGTAAACTCGAGCATAATGCTCAAGCATTGAAATATTTGATTTGAGGACTTGGTCCGGCTGAGCACAACCGTGTTCTTGGATGCAAATCCGCAAAACAAATGTGGGATTTACTTGAGATTACGCATGAGGGTACCTCGCGTGTAAAAAGATCCAAAATTGACATATTTATGCGTAATTACGAATTATTCGTGATGAAGCCTAAAGAATCAATTAGGGATATGATTACACGTTTTACTAATATTATCAATGAGCTCTCAGCACTTGGAAAAGATATTACTGTAGAAGATCAGGTGAGAAAAGTTATGAGAAGCTTGCCATCCGCATGGAAGCCTAAAACTACAGCAATAGAAGAAGCTAAAGATCTCTCTACCATGACACTAGAAGACTTGACCGGCTCACTCATGACATATGAGCTAGGCCTACAAGAAGAACAAGATGCAGAAAATGTGAGAAAAGAGCGAGGAATAGCTCTCAAGGCTCGAGAAGAAGAAGAATCCGGAAGTGAATCGGAAGATGAAATGAGCATGTTCGCCAAGCAATTCGGAAAGATGTACCGAAAATTCAAAGGCAACCGAAATAAACAAGGTAAAAAGGGTTTCCAATCTTTTAATAACCAAGGTTGTTTCGTTTGTGGTTCCCTTGAGCACAGGGCAAAAGATTGTCCTCAAAAGAAAAATGATAGAGCCTACGACAAGAACAAGACCAGTTCCCATCGGAGGTCCGGTGAAGATAAAGGGTTCAACAGAGACCTCAAAAAGGCAATGATGGCAGCCTGGGGAGACTCATCCGATGATGAAGAAGAAGAAGAAGAAGAAGAAGAAGAAAAGGGCCTAAATCATGCTGGATTGTGCCTCATGGCTAATTCCGATGTAGAATCCGACCAAGAGAATTTCGAGGTAAATTTGGAGAGCTTTCTTTCTAAATTTGATTCCCTCTCTAAAGGCAAGGTCCGAAATTTTTTTAAAAGATTAACAATTGAACTAAATCAAAGTCTTTCTGAAAACGATAATCTTAAATCACAAATCACCGAACTTGAGTCTAAACTCGAGGAAGCCACTAGAGCCAAGATAAGGCTGGAAACAAAAGTGGGAGAGTTAATAGATGAAAGGCTCAAGTATAGTGAAGTGGTTTTGGAACAAGATAACCTCATTTGCTCACTCAAGCTCGATAATATGAATAAACAAGTTAATGACGAAGAAAAATTCCGGATATTGCCTTGCTCATAAACCATCTCAATCGCCTTGAGGACGAGAGACAGGATTTTAAAAACAAACCGGAATACCAACCATATAGTACCAAGGTAAGAACCAGGTCTAGACAGCATTCTAGAACTGGACCCTCTCGGTACAAAAGAAAGGAAAACGAGACTGCTGGTCTCGGATACATTCCAAGAAATTCTCAAACAAATCAAAAACCGAGTTTTCAGAACCAACCCTTTTATGGTAATAGAACTAGAGAACAAACCAGTTCTAGACCGTACTATAGACAACCTAGAACTGGACCAACCTGGTTCGATAAGCTGGTTCAAAGGCACAAAACAGGTTATGGTCAAACACCTAACCGAGAATTTTATAAAAGGGGCAAAGATCATTTCGGAAATCGGAAAACCAAATATGTTGATACATATGACAGCCGGATTTGCGGATATTGTGGCAAAGACGGACATCTTATGTATCAATGTCACTCTCGACAACAGGCCTTAGAGAGAAGCCTTAATTTCAGTAAATATTCCTCAAACCAATATAAAATGGAACCCAAGCAGGTCTGGGTTCCACGCACTAAACCTTAATCCTGGAACAGCGCCGAGTGAGGGGGAACAATCACTGGTTCCTTGACAGTGGTTGTTCTAAACACATGACCGGAGATAAATCTTTGTTCCTCTCACTACGGCCATTTAGTGGTGGAAAGGTGACATTTGGAGACAACAACAAAGGAGAAATCATTGCCGTGGGGAAAATTGGAAAGTCACCCGACCATGCAATAGACAATGTTTTCCTAGTCAAGGGTCTAAAGTTTAATCTGCTTAGCATTTCTCAGTTTTGCGATCGAGGTAACAGTGTAGTTTTTGATCATAATGTATGCCGCATTGTCAATAACGAATCTCAGCAAGTCATACTAGAAGGCAAGAGACTTGAAAATACATATAAAGTTGATCTCGATTTATTGCCAAGTATAAGTTTAACCTGCCTAAGCGTTATTGACAATGATCCCCTACTCTGGCATAAAAGATTGGGCCACGCTAGCTTTTCGTTAATCAATAAACTCAAAAATAATGAATTGGTAGTCGGGCTACCTAAAATCAAATATTCCCTTGATCATATTTGCTCTTCCTGTGCCACCGGAAAACAATCTCGATCATCTTTTAAAACAAAGAATTTTGTGAGCACAAGCAAGCCCATTGAACTAATTCATATGGATTTGTGTGGTCCAATGTCAGTCCGAAGTCGGGGAAACAAAGAATATGTGTTATTTATTGTTGATGACTTTTCACGATTTACATGGACTATCTTTCTTGCAAGTAAGAAAGATACGTTTAATGAGTTTGTTGTTTTTGTAAGGAAAATTGAGCATCATACAGGGTTGCACCTAATTAAGATTCGATCCGATCATGGAACCGAGTTTGACAACTCACTA